CAAAGAAAATTGCAGTGTTGTACAGTTTTACCACAGTCCAACCACCTGAAATGCTGAAATTTCTACATATAGCTTCAGTTTTAAAACCATAGCAACTGGAGTCTTTTCCCTTACAAATCTAATACAAATGTAGTTATTTTATAACCATTTTTGGATGTGTTCAAAACACAGTGTTTGTAAAGATTTTTTATGCGTTTGTAATTTGTGAAAACTGTGTATGAAATCACGTCCTTCTGAAATTAGACATTATATCTACAGTGGCAGTAATTCAACCTGATGGCATAAGCAAATTCCAGAACTAACTGATCTAATTTCTAGTAGAATAACAAAGTTATAATTATAATGGGTTTGAAATTTTTTAATTCTTTGATCAGTTAAATTCATGTTATCTTTTTCTGATAATCATCACATTGTTATAGTTGAGAAAACCAGTTGTCTAAGAGTTTTGATGTCCATACAAAGAATTATCACTGATTTACTAAATAACTTTAGAGATTATGTCTCAGATAATATGTATAATATTATTTAATATAAACATATTTTTAAAATTTGTTAAGTACTTACTATAAGCCAGATGCTGTACTAAGTATTCTGGGTATACATATAGAGATTATATATATAAGCAATTTAATATATATAATATATATAACTATATATTTGTATAGTTATACACATAAAATATAAATATTTATGTTATGTGTTATATAATATATATTTTATGTTACATATTTATATTTACATATTAAATATTCTATAAACATACATATAAATCAGTGTAGTTTTACTATTTAATATAGGTATAATTTTAGTCCTCACAACCACTCTGAAATATAGGTATTATTAATTTCAGTTTATAGAAGAAAGTAAGGCACGGCAAAGTTCAGTAATTTACTCAAGTTCTCATGGCTACTAAGTATCAGTCTGATAGTATTTAAATCGTTTCTTTTTTTTCAGTAAGCTATGCACACATTTATTTTTTTATTTATTAATAAAGTTTATGTTGTTATCCCATCATTAGCCAAGCCAAAATTAAGTTAGAAAAAAATCACACATGCATATAACAATGATTGCTAAACTGAGTTTGGAGATTCTCAGTGGTAAAATCAAATAAAGATAATAGTGAAGACAAAGGAATGGAGGTTATTAGAAATAGTAAAACTGTGCTAGAGGTTTTAAAACCTAGATTTTGATCATTTTTCATGTGGCTATTCACTATGTGCTTCCTATACTTTTCATATCAGCAAAATCAATCTGGTTCTCAGTGTTAGATCCTTGAGCAGCTAAGTCCAATAAAACTAGCAGAGGGGATTTGAGGCTATTTTTTGCTTATTTTTTCTAATTATGAAAGTAGTACACGTACACTGGAATATAAAATGGAACTACAGAAAAAAAAGCCAAC